CTATTGGAACTTCAGCAGAGCGCCAAACGAAGGCGGCGCAACTTGGTTACGAAGGCAAAGGCTAGCAAGCCAAGCGAAAGCAGTAGCTCAGCAGAAAGCGAGAAGGAGGAAGAAAAGAAAGAAGAGCCTGTTATTGCCGAGCAGACAGAAGAGCCAAAGGCAGAAGATCCAAAGGAAGCAGAAAAGGTAGCGGAGGTTGAGATGGCTAAAAAGCCAGAGAAAGATTTTAAGCATACGCCAGATGAAGCAAAGGAGGACGACAAGCTGGAAGAGGAAAAAGAGGAAAAAGGTGAAGAAGGTGAAGAAGGAGATCCAGCCAATATATCGATAGCGAATGTGTGCAGAGACAAGTATCACCTGAGCAAGAAGGCTATGAGAATATTGAAGAAGCTGGTGAGAATGAAGGACTTTATGCACACAATGCAAGCAGTCATGTTAGCCATGCAAGTTTGCCAAGTAGGAGCTGAAAGTCTAATTGCCGATGGTGTTTTGGCTCAGACAGGACAGAGTATTAGCGTCAGCCCAGTGCGTAAAGAGGAAAAGGAAATGGCAAACGCAGTGGAAGTGATGAGCATTGTGGAAATAGTCATGCTGATATGTGGAATGGTTTATTTGGTCCAGCAGGGAGTGAAGATGTGCACTATATGTTTGACGAAATGCCGGAAAAGAAATGCGGTGCTGGTGTACATACACCCAGGCCGGAGCGTCTACCACAAGACAACATGTATGTGGTACAGTCCGCCACCGAAGACGCGCGAACTAAGCGTAGATGATGCGCACCAGCAGGGATTTAGGTCATGCTGGCGGTGCCACCCAGAGGACAAGCCGAAGGATAGAGCACCGGAGTTAGCTCAATCCACAGCAAGAGATGTTGACACTATATGCGGAAAGTTGTGCGTATGGTGCGGCGACGGTGTATGCAGTCGACGCAAAACGACCCACGTGAACTGCAGCTGTACGGAGTGTATACGTGATTACGCTGAGGCGATGTGGAGAGAGTGGTACGATGTTGATGAGACCACTGAAATGCCAGAAGCCAGCTATGATCAAACGCAGCCAGATGAGATAGATGATGCTACGTGGCAACGAATGACACTGGCTGAGCGAAGGACTGCCCTGGAAAGACAGGGGCGGCAGTTTCTAGGGCAAAGTGAAAGGCAGGCATATGAGGAATATGTGCGGCAAAGTCAGCGTGAAGCTGAACAAGTGCAACAGACACCAGAGATTATGAGTCATATGTCGACCCGGGTACCCCGGATTCTACCGAGCTAAGAACAGAAGGACCTGCAGCACTATGGTAAAGGAAAGAAGCAAGCGGACATGGGTTGAAAATGTGCGAGACAGGAGCCAGAGGGCGAACCTCTGAAGAGTGGAGCTCGCGCCACTTAAAATCCAGCGTGATTCAGTGCAAGCAATAAGTGGATGTACAGAGAATGCAAAAGCAGCAAAGGCCACCGGCCAAAGTTTCACAGAAAGGTGATGCGAGAAAAGCAAGCCGAAGAGGTCTGTGTAAAGGACCCAACTGGCAAAAGGCTAGAATCGCAGCATCACCACAGCTATACGTGCCAAACGACATAGCGCCACGAGCACAGAGGCAAAAGCCAAA